TCTATCTATCTATCTATCTATCTATCTATCTATCTATCTATCTATCTCCACATATATGTAGTTTTATTTCATAAATGTAGTAGTTTTATAACATTTTATAAATGTATGTACTTCTTATTGCTAACTTTTGTACATTCGAGCAGGTATTATATTGTTTTAAAAAAGTAAATTCATATCCTAGGTAAAAAATTCATATTATCATTATTTACCATCAGAATATTAGTAAACATATTTCCTTGTGTTTTCCTGTGTAAATGGTACAAACACAAATGGCCGAAAACCTGCTTTATGTGCTTTATTTAGTGAAGATACTGACCCCCCCCACCTGTGTTTATGTATTTGGGATTAATCAAAGTCTGTAGCTACCTGCGCAGAGAAATCTGTTGCAGCTGCTCACCGGTGAAATCACTGGAAAAGGAGAACAAGCTCCCAAGAAATAGAGTTCTCTACCTCCTTCAGGCAGCGAATCATTGAAGATCCCCTCCACAGAGACACAGCTGCTCCCGTCACCCCCGCAGATCCGGCAGCGGTCCTCTCGTACGTCGGAGCCCAGTATGCGATCACAGCCTACATGCTGCGAGGGGGGAGAGAGCAGTGAGCCGCAGGGGTCACGCAGGGTCATTGGGAAAGGGGCACAGTCAGTGAGTTGAGAGGTGTCAGAGGCCGCGCTGACGAATTACCTCCTAATGTCTTCCAGACCACTTTTTCAAAACACAGAAATATCAGATGGCAAGTCCAGATGTGTTTTCTGATCCTCTGCAGACATAATGCTCTTTGGTTGCTAAATTCATAGCTGTCGACATAAATAAATTTCATGATGAGCGAAGCAGGTGGTTTTACTCAAACTTTTTAACAGGGAACAAAACTTAAACAAAAGTGTAGAAAATAAATGGCAACTGATCCTATTCTCATATATTCATGTGGCAGCTGCTTACTGTAGTGAAGGATAATGAGGCCTCAGTTTATTATGACTTTTAAATTGACTGGATCTTTGTTTCTTTATACATGTACTGTCACTGGTGGTAGTGCTTTCCATCTTTGATTCATTTAGTTAGGTTCAGCACTAATACATTAACAGAAATTAAAAAAATAAATGTGTAATACTCAAGCATAAAGACTAGCTTCATATCATTAAAGCTTGTCTTGACAAAGCAAATGTGTTTGGCAGGTGACATCATTCAGGCCATCATCCTGCTTGCCATGATGTTGAACATTTAGCTACAGCTAAAACGAATAAATAAATAAAATGAACTGGATACCAACTGCAAACCAAAAGGAGTCTAAAGTAGAGGCTTTGTGACTTTCAGAGGCACATGGAACACAACTATGAGGATGGATAATGTGCTTACATGAAAGATATTTCTCAGAATTCTTGCAAACCAATAGCCATGTGAATATAGAAACACATAAATGTCTAATGACAGTATGATTACTGTTGTTTGGCTTTCAGCCAAATTATTTCTCTAAAACCTGAGTGTAAATGAAGAGCTGGGGGTTGATTCAATCTTACTGCATAGTGCCAGACACCAACAAGGACATTTGAAAGATTAGACATATGTTTGACATGTGCAGCTCCAATAATCTTGAAAATGATCTAAACCTCTTTATGCTGATTTTCTCTCGGGAATGTTTAGTCACGAATGTCTCAAATTTTCCCTCCATTCCAAAACCTCTACTTGACTTTTTACTGTCTGATGCAAATCAGAAGATCTTAAGATTCACCAGGTCAGTTGTTTTCATGTTCTTTATGCTTTATTGGGTCCAGCAGGTCAGGGCAAACGTCTGCTTTGAGTTTATTTAACTGAATCGTCGGTTCCAAGGTAAGATTGGCAAATTCTGTCGGCTTTTTGCCTCCACCAGCAGACCGTCTTTTTTTCTCCGCTTCCATTCTTTTTTCAAACTGTCACTGAAATCATCATGAGGCTGCAATCCGCAGACAGTCTGTTTGAGTTTTAAAGGGTGCATAAAAATGGCAGTACAAGAGGTCAGATGAGAGAAGGGGCTGGACTGAAAACAGAAAAATTACAAGAAAGAGAGGAGGGAGGCAGAGAAAGAAGGGGAAAAAAACGAGACAATAGGGTGAAGTGAATGAAAACCAGCCTGCGGTGCAGACAGACTAACAGCTGAGCTGGAGGGTCACTGAGTTCCTACAGAGCACTGCAAATAGGGAAGACGAGGAGAGATGGGGAAGTAAAAAAAAAACTAGGGGGTGTTGGTAAACAAAACTATCATTTTGGATGATTTGAAAGCCTCCAAATAAAGAAGCTTGTAGGGGGTAAGAGACACACCACAGGGGAGGCCGAAAATAAAATACCAAGATGGGAAATCCTGATTTGAATTATTTCTCTCTCCACAAATGTTGTTCTTTAAGCTTTTTCCACTCTGTGGTTAGAGCAGAACTAAAGGAACTAATTGTGGATTGGGATTCATTGTCAGCCCCCATAAGCCATGCTCTGTTATCCTAAAGTTTTTTTTTCTATCTTGCATGTACATGGACCACAAATTCTCTCCAATTGGTTCCAGGGACCTGTTGGAGCTGCAGGCCGTCTCCAAGTTAAAGCTCACATCAGTTTGATGTTTTGTTTTTCACTAACAGCTGTGATGAGGGGAGGGGTCATTAATAGGAATCTCCTATTCTGACAATGCTACTTCAGTTTATCAGCTGCGCAGCTGATTGTGATGAGCGGCAGCGGTCAGGGCCTGAACTAGTCAGCAGCAGCTGTCCAGAGAATAAACAAGATTATCTGAGAAGAAGGCGATTTTCTGTCGATCGGTCTAAAACGGCTCCGCACATCTAGTGGCTTTGTTTCAATTGGCTCCAGGTTTGATAATGAAGCGTTCGTTGTAACTCACCTTACACTCTCCGTTCACGCACACATCCAGAGAGTTGTCCCGGCACAGGGTGCCGTCCACCACCGCCGGGGCGCGCTCGGTGTAGAAGTTGTATCCTTCGGCGAGGCAGTTGAGAGAGCAGGTCTTCACTCCACCTGGATACATCAGCCACATTCATAACATACTTTAAACATACATTTAGCAATAAATAATCAGCCTACAGTAGCAGGCAGATACATTTACAGGGAATCTTAAGAAAATTCATTACATTTCAAACAGCTTGATATTTGTACAATTGAGGTTTTAAACTTATCGCGTTTATTTTGTAGATCTTAAATTTCAAATGCTTAAAAGAGAAATGCCAATTGTATCACCTGCTATTGGCACTGAATGGACCATGAAGTGAGATTGTTTTCAGCCGTATAATCATGTCTCGTCTTAACAGCTGAGATCCATTAGCTCATTTTAGAGAACTCGATGTCATGGAAAAGGTTTGATACGTCTTTGATGGGTCTGAAATGGTAAATCAACTGTATCCTGACATCTGATGCTTGCATAACAAACCGTAAAGAACCGGGCAAATGAAGTGCAAGTCATACTTCTTGAAGAGCTCGCCCGCCAGCCAAAACAGAGATGAACCGTGCCTTAACGTGACAATAAAGTTGCGGTCATCCCTTCTGAATGTTTCATTTTGGCATTCAATTTAACATTGCAACATAATCTGAGCAGACATGTTGTGCTGACGTGTGAAGGGCTTCTGCTCCCGTTCTGCTGGAGCCATCACATTTGTACTAGGGGTGTATGCAGAACAAGAAAGCAAATAACTTCAAGGGTTTAGGAAATGTTCTCTGTGGTGACATCCAGACAACAGGCAGCTGAGAGTGATTATGTCATTGTCACTCCAGATTGAAAACATGCAGACGCCATGCCAATTCCTATATATGCTCACGGCCTGTTCTGACTCCTGACACATTTCTGTGTAAAAGACACAAAGTGTCCAGCAGGGCCTATAGCCTTTATAACACTAATGTGTGCCACATGTACCAAGTCAAAGTTAGGACAAACCTCTCTCTTCTTTTCCCCAAAAGTCTACATTTTTAATATTTAGCAGCTCTAGTGACTTGAGGAAGTCAAGTTCTGAAAGGCCAATAAATACACCAGAATATGAAGACATACACACATTCACACACTCAGTCGTGCCACAAATCTTTATTCATCTGTGAAACTTGCCAACAGCTCCACTATTTGAGTGGCTGTTGACATCAGCCTGGGCTGTGTTTGTTTGTGCTGGCAGCTCCGGAGCAGGTACAGTATGTGCTGGGAAACAGCGAGAGTGAGTATGCACTGGTCGGGATTGCAGATAATAAAGTGGTCAGACCATGGAAAACTACAATTCCCATGGTGCCGGGCTTTGGCAGGGCAGATTCCCGGAGAGTGTGTGCATATTAGAGTTTGCGCTGAAGGTTGAATGTGAAGGTTGGTGGATTGAGAATAGTAATATGGAGCTGCTTGTTTGAAGGAAAAAAAAAACTGCTTAAGAGCAGGAGCTTTTTTAATGAATTGTCCTTGGCTGTCTGAGCTGAGAGAGAAAGGCTGCGTCTGTTCTCCGTGTCAGACAAAATGAGAGGGAATGATTGTATAATGGTGAACTAAATAAAATGAGAAATGGAAAGACGTTAACAGGAACGGGGACTATGAAAAAAGGAAGAAGGAATAAAAGGAAGCTACGCTGAGTTATAGGGTAAAGGTTCTGTATAAGGGCTGCTATGAGGCTTTAAGGACGCTGGTGTGATCTGGCCTCAAAACCGAGCAGAGATTTCGGCCCTTGTCCCATTTTAACAGCTGCAAGGGATTTCCATTGTAAAATCAGCTGACTTGATGAAAGGAGCACTTGTTGCCTGAAGTTGGAAGTGGATTTCTGACTATCTCTGTAAGCCATTATGCGGACGCAGCAGCCGATTAAAAGCAGTTATATCATCTGAACTATTTATCTTTCATGTCCAGTTTCGGCATCTAGTCTTTATAAGAAGCAACGAATTCCTGCAAGAAGTCCGGGAACGAGTGGCTCTCTGCAGCCAGTATATCTGCCGGCCAGGCTGAATAGTCTGCAGCTTTGATTTGCCTGTTGTTCTCTCCTCATACACACACACACACACACACACACACACACTCACACACAAACACAACTATTTCCTTATGACTTCTATTTGTTCCCAGCACCTACAGCCAATAGACTTCAGCAATCAACTCTCAGCTCACTTGTTTTCTGTTGACCTTTTCCACTACATTCATTTCTCAAATCTAGTCCTTCATTGTGGGCTTAGTTCATTTTTAGACATTTCACATTATTTTTTAATGTTTTGTTTCTTTAAAATCAAACTTAGTTACTTTCACTTCTGCTTATGTGAGATCACTTACTGTGTAATTATCTCGACCTACAGTGAGTGACTACTCAGATGTTGGTGTGTTCTGAGACATCACCTTTGACATTTGATTTTTGTGGCCCTAGTCATCATCATGACAACAAACATTACTCACAAAGTATGTAGCTACTTCATATCAACTAACCCACTATTTCCCAACCCTTGTCCTCAGGGCACACGGCCCTGCATGTTTTCCAAGTTTCAAAAGATTCGGAAAGACCAAACTAGCCTGTAGGCAGACATTAGTGACCATCCTCTTTTTGTTTGTGTTGGGATGAACAATGACCCATCGCTGTTTTTGCTTATGGCAATAAAACAAAAAATCACATAAAGATTAGACTCGTTCACTTTATACCTGAAATGTGATTTAAACTGGCGAGGGAGTTGGATTCGGGTAACAATAATTAAAAGATTAAAAAGCTAACGCTACACTCACCTCCTCTGTAAGGCTTCCAGGTGTAAAATTTTCCCCGAAAAGGGCTGCTATCAAAGTTGGAGCACTGGATCTCTCGGAAATCTCGAGAACCTGCAGGGCACTCCTGTAATACACACATACCATAATCATGAAAAAATAACATGTGAGTGCTGATATACTAAAGCTCATATTTACGATAGGGTCTAATTCCATTTTCAAATGATTCTATGTATGTTTCACCAACAGATGCGAGGAATCTTACATGCAATCAGCTTCCAAAACGTAAATCAAAATGAACGATTATGGCTGATTTATGTGATGAAAGAGATGTTTATGGTGGAGCACACTCACATCTATATTACACGATCTGAAGCGTTTTCTTTCCCCAAGACAGTATTTTCCACCGATGGTTGGCCTATAAATGGAACACAAAGAAAATTAAGTGACCAGACTACAGCATGACTGTCTCCGATCTCCATCACATTACCAGGCAACAACCTCAGCTTTCTTTGGCTTTGTCTCTGTGTTTCAGGTCTTTCTGTCCATCTTTCTTGTAGCTTTGCCGTTTACACAAACCAACAGGACAATGTCTGTGGATTTTAAAACTACAGCTGAGAAAGAGGCCACAATTCATCACTGTCAAATAGCTTCTGCTGCTAAACTTCCAACAAACTTTAAGAGATTGGAGGCAAAGCAATGGTGCACAATGATGCTCAGAAATGAAATAGGAGAACACAGTTGGCCCAAGATTTGGGTCAATCCATTCTCAGTTTAATCAATTCAAGATGAGGCATCTGGCAATGGATATTCCGAAGAATAGTCGTTCTGTGATGATTTAGACTCCACTGCTGCTCGCATGAAGGTCTTTGGTTTAAATAGTACCACTGATGTCTTTTTGTCACAGTTTTATTGCTCTTGTGAGACTAAAGTACCATTTAAAAGGTGAAAAAGACCCCTCTTTATACTCTTAGTCTCATATTGATATATATATATAATATTTTTTTCCAACATTGACTTGTTACTTAGCAGATTGCACACACAGTTACTTTAAAGGTATGTGTTCATTTCCTTGAATTAGAAATCCCACTGGAACATTAGTGTGCTGTGTGTTTCAGCTTGTCCTGGTAATGTCAATTATCTTCTCATCTGTTTACTTTTAAACATCTAACTTTTGCCACCTTTTTTTCCACATGCAAACTGAGGTGACGGATCCTAACACTCGAAATAAACAACTGCTGTCACTTCTTTTTCAAGGGTGTATTTGGTCCTCGCACTTATGTACCGAAGTCAATTCATTTTCACTACGAATGCCGTCAACAAGTTTCTTTAAGATGCTTCGAGCTTAAAACCTGTACCTTGGGCTGTCACAGTGTCTAACAGATGATGAGACTCCGCCCCCACAGGTCCTGCTGCACTCCCCCCATGGTGACCACAGACCCCAGCTTCCATCCACACCCTCTGGACGAGTCCCATATGCCACACACATCCTCTTGTAACACCACTGGAGCAGATAAAGTACAGCGCAGATTTATACAGAACAATTGCAATATTCTCCATTTTAAGGTTAAAAAAAAACAAAGCAAACAACTCCAGTTAAGAATTACATAAATACTAGTACTTTAGCTAGTTGTTATGATTGTTTTTAACTGCTTTAAAAAAAAAAATACGACAAACATTTCATCACCTGGAAAAGGATAACACTTTAAAGAGCTTACCCCTTTCTCTATGGTGTTGGTCTGACAGATGGTTCCCTCTGCAGCAGGAATGCTGCTGGTGATGCAGCGGTTGCTCTTACTCATGCACCAGAGTTCACTGCACACTTCCTGTGAGTGGCACAAGAATAAAAGCATTGGTGAAAGTCAAAGAGAAAGACAGAGCGAGACAAAACATCACAGTTCCCCCCCCCCCCCCCCCCCACAAATGATTGTTGGTGAAGCCCTAGAGGAGAAACCCTTTTGTTCACCTTCACCTGTTCTCCCTCTACCGCAATGCCTTTTCCACATGGGATTATGTTTTATTGTGTACATATGCTGTGACTACATAGTATCGATAGTAATGAGTCTATAAAGCAGCTTGCGGTTCCAGATGTCCATTCACTCTGAAGCTGGCCTTGTAAAACTTGACCATGCCATAAAAAGAACGTTATTTTTGCGAAAGTATTGCAAGATGTGTTACGTCACAGATTTAAAGGGAGAACGACAAAAAAGAAAAAGAGTCAAGAGATGACAAACACAAACAGTGATTTGAAAAGATTTATGTTCATATTCTGAAATGTTTTTCATAGGAAACTAACACTTGTTGTAAGAAAAAAATACAGCAGACTAACAGAAATACAAACCTCATGTCGATCTTCTTTTTTCTATGCCATGAGTGGCCAAAGAACTATATATCAATATCGATGTTAACCTCAAGTTTAATGATCTCGTCGGAAAGAAAACTCTATTATGAGCCCACATCAGTCAGGATTAAGATCTCATCACATTTAGAAAATTACTTCACAGAAAACACATAAAAAGAAAATATATACAGATAAACACAAATACTGCTCAGCATGTTCTGAAGGTAAAGAAAAGGATGTATGAAACAGGGTTCCACCAGTGTGCTCACCGCATATTTACACTGCCGGGATCTGATGCCGTACTGGAAGCGGCACTGCTCGTCTGCATCGTAGGCTTGACCTGGAGCTGTGGTGGGGTACTCAAACTCCTGCTTTGGAGGCACGTTGTTCAGACAAGAACCCATTCCTGAGCTAAAGCAAATCAAACAGAGGCAGAAAAGGAGGAAATGTTTAAAGAAAACAATGTTTAAGCGGAATTGGATTTAGCGAAAATGTTTTTCTGACCATCGAAAATGTTTCTACTTAGTTTTTTCCCCCTCAAACTTTTATTAGGAAATGTTTTTGTTAGATTTCGGACTGGTCAACTTACTCCAGGAAGCTGGTGATGTAATCCCGACTGCAGGCGGACCAGATGAATGGGTTTGTCTTCATGGTGATGTGGTCAGCCATCAGCTTGGCGGTCTCCTGGCTGCGAGGCCCACAGGCGTTCCCGATACCGTCATGATTCATCCCAAACCTAAAGCCCATGATGATACAGTGACAACACTTTGAGGCCATGTGGACGGGTAATAATCCATGTGGCAGCAATGGGGACAGTGGAAAAAAGATCACTGTGGATAACCAATAGGGATCAAAAGAAAAGCCAAAGAAAAGTCCACAACTCTCATTCACCGATCACAATCACACAACAGAGAGCTAAAGGTACAGGTCCTAAAACCCGGGACTGATTTACAGTGTGTGATTTCACACAAAGACACTCATAACTACAGTATTATTTTTCATTTATCAAAAACCCATGACTGCAGCTCTGTATAATTTTAGAGGATACAAATAATTGGCAATGACAATAATCATTAATGTAATAAGTTATGTGTCTTTAAAAAAAAACACATCATGATATCATTACATGAAACAGTCCTGTGTCAATAATACACCCAATTAAAGGTTTATCATCTGATTAGATTATTAATTAGTACAAATATCTGCAACTTTATAGCGAATAAAAACCATAGCAAACTGCGTGTATTTTTTATTTTATCTCACATAAAAGCAAAAACATAAACTTCTCATGTTTCAGAAGTGTGAACCCAGTAACCATTTGTATTCCTTACTAGTACATTAAGAAACAACCTAGATGTACATCTTTTTTCCACAAGACTTATAGCTATAAAAAGGGGGGGGGGAAACTTTGGTGGTGAACATAGATTCCAAAATTTCTGCCTGCAGGACAACCGAGTAGTACAGAACCTATGTCACAATAAGAGGATGAACATCGCAAAAACCACAAGAAACACAATACTCACCAAGCTTTATCATTTGGCACAAATTCTAAATCGCATTGTCAATAAAGGAATTCTAACAAACAGCAAAAAGCAAACAGCTAACAGTAGCTATGTTTGAATTTGAAATAGAAAAACTCTGAAAGCTTTCATCTCCCAGCAGAGCCATTTCTGTGGGCACGTTTCACCACAAACAGGCCTGCATTTGATCTAACGTTGCGCTGTAATGTCAAAACAATGTCTTCCACAATTAAACACAACTGCTGATTGCACCGAGGCCCGTGAAGCAGACTGTATATACATGAACATTCATTACAGTAACAAACACTGTCCAGTCATGTTGATAAGATGGCCTCTGGGTTTGAGTGCTTGAAGACCTGTGTAAACCATTAGAGAAACTGATGGATCCACCATCTGCTTAAACATAAAAAAAAAGGTGAATGGGACACTGAAATACTGAGTAAGTGGGACAGGACAACAGTAACTTCTCTGGACTTGCTGTATTAAGGAACTAAGTTAAGGATACAAGCTAAGAGAATAGGTAGTTAAGAAACCATACTGATAAGCCATTGCAACCTTTCCAGCATGATGCTGACGGAGCGTAATGGAAAAAACAGATGCATATCCAGGTGTTTCACCAGCTCCACTTGCTACCAATTCCACTGTGACTGAAATAAAAATATACAACTATTAACACATTCTCAACTGATAGAACGAACTTATGGTGTTAAAGGTAGAATATTCTCTCTCTGGAGAGCTGGGAGCAGTAATCTGAGGCAGCAAACAACTTGGCCTCAGCAAGTAAAAGGGACTTCAGGGACTTGGGACATTTAGTCTATTTAAAGGAAAAGACTAAAGTTCAAGTTTATGGATAAAGGATTCATTGGATTTAGTGGGACAGTTCTGTGCTATCAATCTTTGCTCTTAGAAAAACATTTTAAAATTGCATTGTATCTACCTACCGTAGATACATTTCAAAGGAGGTTTCAAAGAGCTGAAAGACTCAGATCAAATCAATGAGATACGGGATGCAGTATGTGCAACTAATTTTGCACTATGCAGTGGAACGCTTGACACATTTTTTAACAGAATGTACACATAGCTGCAGGTGGTTTTTAGGTGTGGACTGTCTTTAAGGTCTCATGACTCAGAGATGTCTGAAACATCCTGGAAATCAAATTACTTTCTTTATCCGTGTGTGTTACTCACGTGTGTCCGATCTCATGGGCTATAGTGAAGGCTGTTCCCAGACCAATGTCCTCATTGATGCTGCAGCTCCTCTCTGGCTCACACATCCCTCCTACTGGAGCCAGACCTGACAAGCATTCACACATACCGTGCATGACAATCTATCCAAATGATGAAGAACAGCATCATGCATGCTGAACCTTTGTTATCTTTAACCACAAACGTTGAGAATGACTGTTTTGTGAAAGAATAACAAATGTATATTTTTTGAGCCAACTATGAAGACTACTATATAAAAAAGGAGTTCTTTATATATATTTTTTTTAAATAACAATTTATATCACCCAGACTTTAGGTCTGGGATTGTAATTTGGGGTCAGTTTAGCTTTTCATCGGTAGAGGTAGAGTATTTGATGACTAAAAACAAAAATATATAAGTAAAATTGTTACCTAAAGTTTCACAGGGCTTATTTTTTTGGATGCAGATGTCATACCTGTGGATGGAAGGAAAAATAGAAAAGGTTTAACCACACATTCGTCAGCATCAAGCCAAAGCTTTGGCACACGCTTTGCTCTGATGGTGACAAACATGTAAGGACAGCCAGTGGACAGCAGTGACACCAAGCAGATATAGCTTTAAAGAAACAATAGCGGGAAACCAATGATGGCCACTGAGGTGTCATCTGTCTGGACAGCTTCCACTTCTTGTTACAAACCCAAACGTTTCCCACAAAGCCATGACCAACTAAAAAAAAGTGACCCCGACTTGGGACAATCATTTACACAGAAAAGTATTTTGAACTTAACTTTGTATAGTGGATTCTGACTGACCCGTGGTTGTGTTGTTCTTAAATACATCAACCTCGTTCAATAGCTCAAGTGTTTTATCTGTATAATATGATCAATGTAGTCTTTTTTAAAATCTGTAACAGAAAAAGTAGCTTGAGTGACAAAGAGAAAGCTAGCAAAAAAAACACCACGGACAGACTGAAGGCAGCTTTGCTTTGACTTCTGCTACCTTTCTTAACATCCCACGGTGCCTTTTTTTTTTCTTGGCTGTTAACTTAAAGGATATAAATCTGTCCCTGTCCAGGTGCTGTGCCTGCAATGTGGCCCCATCTACTGTCACCCAAGACAGGACAAGATACAGCCCAAGTCTGCTAAACTTGGCTTGATGACAAGCTATGAGGAGAGGGGCTGGGAATGTAAGAGTTCAGCTTTGAGGAAACACTCTTTTAACCCTTACTGTAGATAACGGGGCGACATATTTTTCTTTGCAGATGCTGCAGGAGATTTGTTTTGGCAGCACGTGTAAATGAATGTTATTTTCTGTGTGAATAAAGCTCCAGAAGTGAATAGCTGTACGAATCCCTCATTCCTTGGAGACGGTTGTTTATTTCTGACCTGGTGATGAGCACAGCTGTATCATGGTGAGCGATGCCATTGTCTGGTATGGCGTTCCCATAGCTGCTCCGGTGCTGGATGCTTTTCTGCCACTTGCAGAAGCTGTCTAAAGACTTCCCGGCGTGATGGTTGATCTCCAGTGTTGGCTAGTACAGAGGCGAGGGGAGAAACATAGACGTTTCGGTCATTCATCCTGTCGCACACACAAACAACCCAAATTTGTGCAACTCTTGCATTTATGGAGATGTGTGAACAGTGTCATCCAATCCGATATTCCAACAATCACATGATAAGTCAGCAATGCTTTGATAACACAGTAGTAGTCTTCCTGTATTGCACTGATTTGGGCTTCTTTTCCACCACTGCGTGTTAGTCTTTCCTATCTGTGAAAACTCTGCACCTTCACAGTGTTGTAAGTGCACGTAGAGGAGAAGGAGACGAGGAAGTGCTCTGCTGGCCACAGCTGGCGAGAACTCGTAACCCAGGAATGCATGTGGTGACATAACTAGTAATTGTCTCATCCCACAGTCCCTCATCTTTGGGCCCACTGCTAGCCTCATTTTCTTTTTCCAGGGCCAGCTTGCCTTTTTAGACCTGGAAACCGGCAACAGAACAACTCACAGACTACGCTCAACGCTGTCCCAACCTCAACCTCAGAAGTCAATGGCATAAGAATAACAACACTAATGCCGCCCACCACTAATGATCCTAACATTTATTTCTTTATTCGCTCAGATAACGAACACATCCGGGCGGAAAATTCCGCTTCTTATTTTGAGGCAGCATGAATCATAAAATTTCCCTAATAAGAAAGCTATAAAGGAAACCTCAAAGCCATGCTGTAATACCCGATGGAACCCTTTGCACCGTCTCTCCACATGCTGTTAAAGGAAAGCTAATAAGGGCCTTTACTGGACAGTCAAGTGGCTCAGTCATCTTCTGAGCTATGCTTGTAAGGTCATGCACTTTTTATGAGCTGAACTCTGGCCTTGTGGTCTGGTGTGGATTCTCACTCTGTCTCATTTCTGACCTCACTAACTCAAGAGCCTGCAGCAAAGCTGCTGTTTTTTTGTTTAAAGTTTTTTTAAGCAACATGAAACGTGCACAAAATGTATTTTTCTTGTCATCATCTAAGCTTAAGAGGAATACCCGTGCTAGAGTGGTGCGTATGCTTAGGCTTACATCAGTAGGGCAAAACTGCACATTGAATCCAATTACCCTTCGTCTAAAATATTTCTAACTTTGATGTTATATGCACTGAGGTGAAAATGAAATTAAGAAGCAGCATCAATGCAAACTTGCATTGTAATCCACAGCTTTTGGTACATTAAATCACCCTAGTGTGAGCATTGTATGAGTTTGAGTAGAATAAGTAAACAAATGCAAAATAAGCCCGGTCTGGGCTTGTTAATGTTACAGAAGTTTATAGTGTCTGAGAAGATTTGAAAGCTCTGGATCATCAGAAGATCACCTCGGTCACTAGATTTAGATTTAACATTTTAATTAAGGAAAAAAGAGGTTAGTCAAGTACTCAAGATATCGGTTGATTCTGTTTAAAATCAAGATCAGATCCGGAGGAATCAGCTGTTTCTTGGGCCTTTAATGCAAAACATGTGGGTTCATTGACCTCAAAGTGCTTTAAATCAAAACCGAGACTTTCTACACTTGGGACCTGCATCATATGAGAGGTCAGAGAGGTCACTGTTCACCACAGTAAAAATCAGGACGGTCACAGGGCAGCTCTGTACGACAGGTACAGAACTCGCCTCATTCCCTGAGTTTTCCCCCTTCTCTGAATCATTTCTCTCTTCCCTGCTAACTTACATCCTGTCATTCCTGTCATTACAGCAGCCATTCACAAGAACCACTCTCACACTCCAAGTCTACTGGGAGGGGTCAGGGAAACATACTTAAGCCAATAATTCGACAAATAAGGAGCTCATATGCACTGGTCAGAGTTTAATTTGGATCTGGAGGCAATAAGGACAAGGATACTTTGTGCTGCTTAATGCAGCTGTTGAGTTGACAAACTTTTCTTACCTGGTCTTCCATGAGCAGGATGAGCCGTGTCACCACAATGTTGACTGCATTCCCCAGGCTAGAATCCTGGAACAGTTTGGCAACCTGACCTCCAGGGAAACAAGAAAACACCAGTCTTAAAAATGGTTGATACACCAGTCGAGGGTATTACGGCTAAGACGAGGCAACACTAGAGCAGAAAATGACAGCAAGAGATAATAACCTGTCAATGCACACAGAGGTTGTAACTGAAGGGAAACCAAATTAAAAATAAAGAAATCATTTAAAAAACACTAATGAGTCATCCATGTAAAACTACAACATCAGCACTGTCCTTTAAACATGCTGCCAGGCTGGTTTTAAGCTCCAGCCACACAGTTCATAAAGCAGATTGCACGGGAAGTACGGCTAAATATATCATTTATAGGCCCAACAACAAGGAAAAAAACAATTTCTCCAAAGCTGCATGCTCTTTGTCTGGTGACCACCCCTTCATTAAATGCATTCCTGAAATCTGTGTGTGGTTTCAACATTTTGCAGACGACAGGTGAAAACAAAAGCCTCTGCATGTCTGAGTGAAACATGTGGCTTCTCGTGGGAAAATTTAGACTCGGATTACATATTTTCCCTTCTTTTTTTCTTTGTTTCAATGAATATTACTCAGGCAACTAAAATAAGCGTTCATTCAGTTTATTTCTTTAACATTTTTGTGACTGAAAGTGTTATTTCTCTCTGTCTATCTCAACTATGAGAATGACTTTTTCAGAATGGAAATATTCTTGTTTCAGGGAGGACACATGAGCCTAAGGGTCTCTTTCGAGGCAAACACTCGTGTCATTTGTGTTGTGAAACTTACAATATTCATGACAGCCAGGATGTACTGCTCGATGTCTCTGCGGCCGTGGTAACCCACCATCATCTTGTCAGCTACCACCAGAGTCTCCACGTAGCGCTCCTGGCTAACTGAGCGTTTCAGAGGCAGCTGGCTGCGGCCAACGTGATGCGGAGGCGTCTTCAAAGTCCGCTGCCACCACGACGCACCTTTCATTGGCTTCTCATCTAAACAAGATCATCAGGGATTTTCTTTTTTAGACTATAAATTATTAATGAAACCTGCTTTTTACATTTGCCAAAACTTACACAGCGCTTTGCCAAGCAGCCGGAAGAATGCCTGACCACACTTCATGTGACTCCAGAGCAGAATTTAATCAAAGCGTTGCAGAAAAGTGTTCGTATTTCATTTTCAAAAGTAGTTTTCCTGCACATATTTCTGCTTTTGAAACAACGCCCTGAAACAAAGGCCCAGTCACGCCTAATCACAACTGGGAACTAAAGCCCAACCACAATCTCCCGCTGCTGGCTGGTTTGCTATTCGGCCTGAGGGTATTTACTCTCCCAGTCTAGACCTTACTGGTGTTGGGCCTGGAAATGTTTCCAGAGTAGGACCAGAATATTGCTCCTCTCACCAATGACCCCACAGGATCGGCCCTTGTACTGATGGCGGAGCGACGACCTCTTGTAAACCACATGGGGGCGCCCCTCTGTTCTCTCCCCACTCTCCGCGCTTGTTTGGTTATCTGGTGAGACAAGGGGTTCAATCAGGTACTCCTCTCCTCCTGCAACAATCACCCCTTGCTGCAGAAAGACAGATTTGAAGAACAAAATAGGACAAAACGATAGGGAAACATCGTGAACTTCAAAGTGAAAAAATCTTTGCTAATGTTATAATGCTAAAAGTCAACATTCCTCATTAGATTAAGTTACGCATGTAACAGAGTTATTAGTGTAGCTGTATTGACTCAAGACTAAGTTATATCAAAACAAATAATTAATGTTTTATAATTCACAAATATTTTGCTCACATTCTGAAACAGGTCAATCACAATTTATTTAAAAAGTTCAAAGATCAAAGATGACAAAAACAGAGCAAAGTCCAACCACAATGCATAAACAACGATGGCTTGAGTCTACATTTCTTAGTAGCAGATACATTTTCAAAGTGATGAACGAAGTTGACAGTTTGAAAAATGCAATCATTTGTATTTGTATCCATATGAACAACAACAGTTTCTCTGGCATCAACTGAAAGTGTCTGGTTTAAACGGGAACATATGTCAATGTGCCACTGTTCCTCATTAGAAGTAAAAAAAATGTTCAGACGAGCTCCTAATTCTTTATAACTTGGTCATATGCGGTTGTTCTAAAGATGCTGTCACCATCACAGGGTCCTCTGAGGGAAACTCTGAACCCATCTGAGCAGTGGATCGGGACACACACACACACACACACACACACACAGAAATACAAACATACAATAGAGCATGAAAGGGTGAATGAGAGCGAATAAAATGAGAGAGTGAGACAGAGAGCGATACACTAAAACTTCTTTTGATTCTGCTCAGATGTGTTGGCCCCGGTCAGAGCCCCGACTCGACGCGGCGGCTTTCAAAGCGCTTTTAATCCCATAACAAAGTTAGTGATGCTCCCCTGGACACGCAGCGTGCTCACTGTTGAATGCGCTCATGCTGGTCTGAGCAACAGTAATTACGTGTGCGGCTTATTAACGCCCCGTGAACACATCTAAAAAGTTATTGTGGGGCCTGCTGTTTGTAGTGAGAGGATACACAGATGCACGGTGCAATGATTACAGCAGAGTGCGTTCAGTCGGCAAAAGGATGCATCCCAATTCAGAATACCCGGTCAAAGGGTTCACATGAGTACAAACTTTGAAGCATCATCAAACAGATGCCAGCTCTCTGTTGTGGTTTGCTGAGATGACCTCATGAGAAAAATGTGAATGAAAGGGAATTTAATAGTTTGAACACTCTCCTACATTTTGCAGAAGCCTTTGAAAAGTCCGGACAGAGCATGCTAGTTTTTTGGTCTGAAACCTTAAAGGCTAAAGCAATCATTTAACCTTTTTCTGTGAATAGCTGTTTCTATAAACATATTTCCTCTAAGCATTTAACAGATTTGTGGGACAAGAGAGCTTCCAAATTATCAATGATGCTGTTGGAAACAGTTTAATTTTTAACCCCTTCCGAGTAGCTCCACATCAACATAGTACTGTTTGGTTTGTCATGATATCTCTAATACCATCTATGTATTCTAGGACTTTTGGTAAGGTTTAAAATTTACAGCTTTGGATATTTGGCTTCATAGCTTCCTGCGTCCTTGCCCATTCATCAGATGAAAATGCACAGAATAAGAACTGTTACTTCAGAAAGACCACCACCAGAAGATCAGACTTACAAAGACCAGACCAAAAGACCAAAGCAGCCAGTTTGGCGTAAGATGAAGGCTGGCAAGAGGATTCGAGATTTGTTAGAAAAGTCCTGCTTTGATGTTGGAATCAAGTGTTTCTGATCTCTTAATTTCTGCGCCAGCACTGCTGTTGCGGCTGACCTCACCCAAGTTGTGGATTAGATTGTAAAGTTTTAGCCTTACCAGGCCATTACAGTTGCTCAGGGCCACTTTGCTGGAGTGCGGTTGGTCTTGGAGGTGTCCTGTGTAGTGGCAGTGGGGAGAGTAAGGGTGACTCCAGGCTAATCGACCCCTCTTCCAGAACTCCACCCTGAACTGGCGGGATAGCAGCCCTCCCTGCAGCGTCAAGTTCAGCAGGAAGTTGTTTTGTGAAGTGGAAAGTTGGTAGAAGAGCTGAAAAGAATTGGAAATAAATTAAATGTAGGAGAGCTTTGCATCCGTTTAACAAAAATCTGATAAGAATTATTTTTTTAAAGTCACATACAGAGTCAGGCAGCCTGTCTTCAGAGCTGCGCCGTCTTCTTTGGTGGTACTGAGTATGCCCTGCATCGAGCATCTCGCCATTAGGTCCTACACGCACAGGGATGGCGATCTCATACTGGCCTAGGGTGGACAGGAAAGCAGCTAGAGAAGGAAAAATAAAGAGGGAATAAAATCACCATCATAGTTAAATACAGTCTAAATTCATCTTAATATAATCCACTCTAATTAAAAACACTTGAGGATTTTGTAGTTGCTTTGGGCCTCTTTCCTGAGAATCTAACCAAGTTGGCAAGGAGAAACAGACTTTTTGGTCCTTTGCTGCTGACAAGGCCCCTTCCACTCCAAGTACCCTTCCCTCATGAGGCCAAAATGAGGTTACCATAGTTACCTTGAAACTGTATACTTCCTGTGTGTCAGGGGCCCGTTGGGAGATTTATTGTCCAAACACACACACACAACTCCAAATAGTCATGGTCAGCTAACTAACTGTGAAAAATAGCCAACAAATGAGTCCAGCTTTTATCAAATCTTTGGTTTCAGTTGACGGAGATGCGGCTACTTCCCACACCGAGCAGAAACTATGAACCCGGGAAAAACACATCTTTTGTCAGCCAACCTATATTCAGTGTTTGAAAACATCCCCACACCTTCAAACACAGATGCTCCATAATCATCTGTCTCAACAGGATCAGCATTTTTATCTACTCACTCGATTTTGGTTTTGTGCACCTTGGCTAAGGACTGCTAACGGTCTATTTTTGATATTAGTCTGATCATGTCTGACATTATTCTGAATTGATTTAGCAGTTTGTAAATTCAAACTTGAATTATATTATTGGTGATTTGAAACAAACCCTGAAACAGGCAAACAAAAAGAAACCTGAAATGAAGGTAGCTCCTGCTATTTGAAGGATCAGATCAAACTGCATGATTAAACATTTTGATTTCTTTCATTTAATCTGTATACACAGTGCACACAGGCTACACCATGGTTCGTGAATCTGATTCATTAAGATGGACATACAATGACCTGTATGTCTGTAGCAAAGGACATGATATGACAGATATTCAATCTATTACTAGGGGAAAGGGACGTGGTAATAGCCGAAAGTGCAAACAAAAGAAGAACAAATAATAAGGTAATTCAAAACCTGCAAACACTGAGCAGATATGAAAATGGAGAGAAAAGTGGAAACATGCTTGCTAAATTTAACAGGAGAAAACACCCTGACTAACAGCACCAAATACAAAGGGGTCTGTGCAGATAAACACACCCCTGCTTCTGTTATCGCCAAATGAAAATAGTGGAAGGAAGTACTCTGGATGGAAAAGTGCACCTCCCTCCATGCCAGACACACCTTCATGGCCCCTCAGGCCAAACACGGCTGCCCTGCTTTGAAAGGAGATTCTGCGAGAGCAGGAAGAATCTGTAATTACTCAGCAGAAGGTTATCAGTCATAAATGGAGGGAACGTTCACCTTTGCAAAGGCAGTGTGTGTGTATCTGTGTGCGTGTGTGTGTGTCTAGAACTACTTCCTGTTATTACTTCTTTCTGTGCCTCTCTTGTCTTTCTCCTGGAAGCAGTCTGGGTGGCCCATGTAAGGAAGTCATAAATACAAACAAAGCCAAAAATATGTAGACAGCCCATGACGCGCTCCCTCTTTCTAGAGCTGGTTTCCACGGGTTAACAGAGCTCAAAGGCAGCCGTCTTTACATTCTCATTTCAACCTGATTTTTAACAAACATCCATTTCATTTATTCATACTAGTGCACAGAAATGGGTAACTAAGCCCCAGAACTCTCTGACAACGTGGTTTTCAGGTTGTATACTTCAGGATGGAATAATCGTCCATTGATGATGATCTCAAAATGGAAAGTAAGTGAGTACATTTTAAAACATTGTTGTAGGACAACTCGACTGCGGCCCTGGACTCTTCCCCATCCAACAATTTTTGAAAGAACTGAGAGATCAACTCCAAGCCAGCCCTTATTCTTCAACATCAGTGTTTGACTTCAGTAATGCTCTTGTGGCTGACCGGGATAAAGTCCCAGCTGACAGACTCCAAAATCTAGTGCACTGCTTTCCAAGAGAACTTGCATGATAAATAGTTTTTGGATTCTTTGTACATTTACATTTGTACAGAGTATAAGCAGTGGATGAAAGAACACAGACGAACTTTGTCATCGTTAAATCTCATTACTAGCATGAAAAGAGGCTGCATTATTTCACCTCAGGAGAACATTAAGGAAACAAATTATTTTTAAAAAGCTACCTTTTCTGTGAATCAGAGCTTGTTTGGGTCACCTAAAAAGGAGAAGAACCCGACAATGGAATATTTTTCAGTGGCCCATTGAGTTTACAAATATTTGCTTCCAAACTGCTCACAATTTCAGTGGCTTACACTGCCAAATAAGAATAAAAATATCTTAATTTTTACCTGCTAAGAACCTAAACCTGTCACAACTCCAGTTCCATCAGCTGCAATCAAGTTTTTGCAAAGTTTAAGTCCATTTTTTCCAAAATGATAAAGCACAGAAAGTTCTTTCAAAAACAAAACACAAATCTAGAACACAAACAGAAACAGAGGAAGCAACAGTGGGATTGTTGACCCTGAAAAAGAGATTGATCGAGAAGCGTGAATGGGTCAGCCAACACCAAAGCACAGAGGTGTAAGCGTCATCCGGAAAGAGGCGCAGATGTACTGTCTGTTGGCGCTACTGCGACCAAAGCATGTTGCAGGCATTTCACAGACTCCTAGGAAATGTGTGATGTGAAAAAACGGAATGTCTCCTTTATCACAAATTTTAGTCAAAAGCTGTCAATCCCAAAAAACAAAAAACAAACAAAGCCGGATGCCCCGAGAGCCAGCAAATACCACAGAGGCATGCTACTTAACTTTTTGATGAACTTCCATCAAATGTTACCCAGAGGAGTTATTATCGCTAAACATGAGTCAAGACCTGGACAGGAGTCAAAAGGGAGGAAAAAAAGAAGAAATAATTTTTTGTTCATTGAAGAATACGTCATGTGTTCGTTTGTAACAGAATGAGAAGCAGATGAGACGGATTAGCTGTTTTCACCTTTGTAAAAGTGAAATTTGATTTTTAAAATTTGATTTTAACAAGAAAGGGCCAAATAGATTTTTCATGACTTCTAAAGAAAGCAGTATTAGTATTAGCAGATTTGTTTGGAGACCACAGTGAGAAGGAAGGGCTGGAGCCTAACCAGGGACACACTGGGTACAACCTGCACACGCTCATTCACTACTAGGGTCAAATGAGAATAATGAGTTAGCTTAATATGTATGTTTTTTTAGATGATTGGAGGATGCAGGGGAAACAGGAACCTACAGATTTTTCATCCTCTTTTTATCTTTGTGAACAACAATTATTTTTCTTTTCGTTGTTTTTTTTTTACATGAGTACCCTCACTGCAATAATATCACTCCAAAGGGGAAAATAGCACTCTGAAATCCACTCGCACAACATCGTGGTGACTTTAGTCTGAACAATGCATGCACTGAATATAAACCCTTTGCATTTGTAAATGCATTTAAATCTGTTCAGGTTTAATTCAACATTTGTTTAACATATCTAGAGGAGTAGATCCCAAGCAGATCCATCGATACTTTACTTCATCCTATCTAAAATGATACATCATTTAAAACTGGCATTAAATGAAATGTTATTAGCCTGCTCAGTGTTCAGATCATTTTATGCTGTTTCAGTTAGGGGGAAAAAATATGTTTTCTTATCTTATACTGTACTTGCACACAATATATTTTCCATCCAGTTTTGTTACTAATTTCAAATATCTTTGCTCTATAGCTGCATCTTGAAAGAAAAGTTTCATGAAATGTTCATTCTTCCATGGAGGGTTTTGGATATGTCATCTCACCTTGTGACCGAGCAATCTCATCTCTGTGACCTCGTGCGGCCTCGGTGGGAACCATGACAACGATGACCATGCAGACCAGTCCAGTCCTCCGTAGCATTTCCATGGTTACTACAGTAGTAGCTATAGTAACAGAATTCAGTGCAGTGGTCCCCGGGCTTCTGTCCCAACATGTCTCCTGCCCTCTCGGATGTCCCGTCGCCTAGCAGTGGGACAGCTCAGCGCTCTGTTGGGCCATGGCTGCAGGAGAGTCTCAGAGTCTGTAGCACCTGCGGCTGACCAGTCAACGGGGGGGGGGGGGCGACGGACCCTCTGGAAGTCCACGTAGAAGGAAAAACCACCTGAACCGACTCCTCCAGGGGCTCAGCAGTCGTCTCCTCTGTTGGCCTGTGGAGGAGACACAGTCAGTGACTACAGGAAAAAGCCCGGGAAGGCTTATGAATGAGGGGGGGGGGGCTCACAGAGGAGGGAGTAAGAAGGGAGGCTTAACATATACAGAGGGGAGTATGAGATCTCGCCGACCCATGCAGTTCTCAGTCTGCTTCTTGTTCAGGGACCTCTCAGTCCAGCAAGGCTCCTTCAAGTGTTCAGTCTTGCATTAAAAGGCAAGCGCCACATTTCGTCCTTCCAATGGACAGAAATAGCAGGAGGTCCCGAAATGGGGCCCCACGCTTTCTGGGCAGCTTACCCATCAGAGAGAGTTCAAAAACAAAGGGAACCAGACATCTTGGATAAAGCTGAGATTCATGCCCAAACAGGGTTTGAAGGGAGTATTATGTCAGGGGGCGGGGGGGGCAAAATGAGCCAATTTGTGAAGAACAGCAGGCTGCCATCACTGCCAGCCTGGCAAACTATGATGTTTGGTTGTATGGCTGAGTGACTTTCTGGCAGCCTGCCGGACTGTGACTAATTGGCTAGCATGTAGCAAAGTGTGCGAGCCGATACGAAGCTGGTTTTACACCGAAGATAATCAATTCCATGATGACTAAACTGGGATCAACATCTAGCAACTAAACTGATTCTATAATATATTTCAAAGGTTAGATATCCCCGCGACCCCATTAGGGAATAAGCGGTTACGAAAATGGATGGATAGAGGTTAGATGTTTATCACAACATCTTACTCACAGTTCAACTCTTCTTTCAAGAAGAATCTCTGTCATTATTTTTCTAAATGATCCCTCATCCACCTTTTTTTAACTGAAATTTGTTATTCAGGCTTAATCTATTGTGTTCTTGTTGTTTTACTTGACAACAGTATCTGTAGTAATAGCCAAATAACATATTCCAATACATGTTTTTATTTATTCATGAATATATATTTTCAACATACTTTAAGTGTAATAAGTATAACCAAGGTGGCTTTATCTGATACTGAAGAATTAAGTTTCATACAAGCAAATCATTCAACAAAAAAATGAATAAGCAGGTGCTTATTTTCAGCTCCCAATAGGCCACTTGAAACTGGTTTTAAAAGTGCCTTGATTGTTACTCTTTACAGCACAGATATATTCATATTCACACTGAAAGCTGCACTCTCAGTGACATGTAACAGGTGAGTTATTTAAAAGATCTGCATATAATCCTCTGGCTTTCACATATCTCGCATCATATCGCGCATCTCCTCCAGTAGGGAATACCCAAAAGGAAAAGAGCAAATGCTGAACTTGAAGTCCGTAATCCAGTGATTGACATTACAGCAGCTGCGCACTCCATTTGTATTATCTAAGCATAATATAATCATTATTACTCCAACTAAACTGGGATGTTTAAAATACCATGCAGGAGAAAATTTTCATTCAGACTGTCTGGAAAAATACTGATACAATCTGTTCAGTTCTTTGCAACATAATTCAAATGACTAACAAACTGTGAAGTGGTCCGTGCAATATGCTAAAACAATCTGATCCGCCATTCCCCGATGAGACAGATAAGCCAACGTAAAATATAGCCCATCATTTCAATATTACTTCCATCGCTCTGAGTAGTAGCAATTTTGCTAATTTTCCACTACTTTTTTTTTTCATTTGGCTGTCCCCGCTAAAAATAAATCGAGTACTTTTGCTCTTTAAGCTCTCCTCTTTATTTGGAGGTCAACGTGGTTCACATCCACTTTGAAATAACAAACTTTAATACGATTCCCTCAAACCCACGTTGCTCATTTAGAAACCAGCCCCGTGCCAGGATCAGAAGGCTCCCTTTAATGGGTGCCCCTCTCACTGACGTGAGCTTCCTGCTTACAGATTGCACAGTCAGCTAAAAACACAACCCCTCGCTATCCACCAGTAAAGTCTGCCCACCCAGTTTACTCCTGTCCCTAGTCTGGAGTTCCTTCCCAACTCCCTCTGAGCTGTCTGGGGAGAGAAAAAGCAAGCAGAGACGCCACACCAACCCAGATGGCTGGCGGCTCCCCAACTGCAGCCAAAGGTAATCAGAGGCAGATGGGAAACCTTTTGGTGACGAGAGCGGGGGGGGGGGGGGGGGGGGGGGGACAAGTTACCTCCTGAAAAGGGGAGGGGAAAGAAAACAAGTGCAAAAAACGGAGGGGAGTGAAAGAGATACAGCAATGTGTAAGTCGTTCAAGCTGACCACGAGAGCCATTTTCGAGTGTTAATATCCCGGGCTGGGAGAGGGAGGGCCCGGCTTTGAACGTGCTTTAATGTGCTCCCTGCAACATTTCAGGGGAAATGGGCAGGTACGGCAGAAAGGAGCGTTTACTTTTAAAACACTGAGGGGTCTTTGTACTGTTGCAGCTCCTCTCATGTATGGAACAACTAAAAAGTCTCTCTCTCATCCCCTCCCTCTGGCTCTCTCCCAGTCATTTCCTGCGCGAGCTAAACTGCCCTCCATTTTCATTACTTCCCCCTCCTCCCATTCACGATTTATTGTGGCGTTATTAAACCCGGTGCTTGATATCAAGTGCTTCTCATTACCACTCGCTCTCCTTTTGTTTGTTTAAACTCAAGAAAGAGGGGGAAACTGGGGCACCCCCCCCCTCTCATGCTTGTCCCTTTGAGGTTTTTTTAAGGAAGGCTCCTTAAAAAGATTTGCAGACAGCCTTCAGAAGATCCTGCAGCCACGGCGCACATGCAGCTCTCCGCACGGCTCTCCCAGTAAATTATTACTCCATTACAAGCCACACAGAGACACGACTAAATTAAGAGCGAGCTGTCTTGCGGAGGTGATGGTGCTGTACATCTTCCACCGTGCGTTGTGCAAAAACTTTCCCCTCTGGGCTGTATCACTTTGGCTAAATAAAAACACATGTTTGTCAGCCTGCCAAGTGAGCACACACATACACACACACACACACACACACACACACACACACACACACACACATACACACACACACACACACACACACACACACACACACACACACACACA